GAAGGAAGGAAGGAAGGAAGGAAGGAAGGAAGGAAGGAAGGAAGGAAATCAACCACTTTCTCAAGGGCCCCGCCCCACCCTACTTCGTGGGAAGAACTCATCTGAGTTCTGGTAACCGGCCACACTGACCATAATGATGTCCTTGACATCACAGCTGACTGCCGATTACAAGGGAACTTTCTGAACTTTACTAGATGAAACTGCGTTCTCTTTATCTATCCTGTAACCTTGGTCTCCTCTCACAGACAATGCCCACCATCTCCATTTACTCCTTCTGCTTCGTGCCTGTGCAGTCTCCATTAAAAAGGTGCTTCTCACCAGGCACGAAAGCACACACCTGTTGTCCCAGCACTCAGGGAGGCAGAGCAGGTGGATCTCTGTGAGTTCCAGGCCAGCCTGGTCTACAAAGAGAGTCAAGGACAACCAAGGCTACACAGAGGAACCCTTTCTCTAAAAAAAAAAAAACAAAACAAAATAATAAAGAGGTGCTTCTCTCATTCCTGCCCTATGTTGAGCCCTGGTTCCCAAACACTGTTATTCTCACTGAAGGCCCCAGACTTATAGGATACATACATCAAAATGTATGTGTCCCCACTGTCAGGTCCATCCACCACAACACTTCTGTGGTGACTCACATTCCTCTCTGCTTTATCAGCAAGCCTTTCAAGGGAGCACCACGGCAGGACATCTGGAGCCCTCACTGTGCAAGCTTTACTCTCAAAATTTTCACTGGCTGAAGTAAGACAGTCCTCTACCAAGTCTCCCCTACCTGCCAGGCTGAATACCTACCTCTTGTTTCCTGCCATAGGGGCTAGCCGGCCATCATATTGTCAGGGATACCTAAAGCCACACACCTCTCTCTCTCTCTCTCTCTCTCTCTCTCTCTCTCTCTCTCTCTCTGACAGGGTTTCTCTGTGTAGCCTTGGCTGTCTGGGACTGGCTTTGCAGACCAGGCTGGCCAAGAACTCAAAGAGATCCTCCTGCGCCTACCTCCCAGAGTGCTGAGATTAAGCCACAGCACCTGGTGGTGGCGGCGGCCGTGGCGGCTGCTTCTTCTTCCTTCCTCCTCTTCTTCTTCTTCAAGATGTATTTATTTTATGTATATGAATGCTTTATATGTAGAGTCTGCAGACCAGAAGACAGCAACAGATCCTAGTGTAGATGGTTGTGAGCCACCATATGGTTGCTGGGAATTGAACTCAGAACCTCTGGAAAAGCAGCCATTTGCTCTTAACCTCTGGGCCAGCTCTCCAGCCCCACCAGTCTCTTTCTATGGCTGCCTCAAGAGGAGAAATCTGTCTCAGAAGACAGGAAGGTCCCCTGTCTTCATCCTATTATGCACAGACACATCAACCCTTCCTGTTCTCTCACAATGTCAACCCCAGTTACTATCCGTAATAGCAGCAAGACAGAACCCAGGTCATCTCAATCCCATGCCCCACCCCACCCCAAACTCACATCCTGGAATGCTGTGTAACGTTTTTTGTAATACAAACTCAGGAAGGCTGGAAAGGTCAGATCTAGGACCTGCTGCTTTAGGAGACAGGTAGCCTGGCACCACCCTGCAGTCCTGCCACACTGGCCTTGAGGTGTGGTCTTACTTGTTATCTAGTTTTCTACAAGTTCCACATTCCTCCTTCAGAGCCATATATTTCCTTAGAGCACCCCACCCTGAAACTTGTAAAAGGAAAGCAATCCCCTGCTCCCTGTCTCTTCGGTGGATTAAAAATCAAGTCTCCAATCCCTGTAGTGGACACCAGCATCACTACCCGAAACGTCTCGGCATCTGTCTACACCTAACATGTACGTAGGACCCTGTGTGGGGTGTCAGTCAACGAGATTCGGCTCAGTAGATAAAAAGTTAAATTCCACAAAATGGTATTAAATATATGACTATTAGCAATGGCTTCACTGACGCACTGCTGTGATAAGGGAAATGTGATTTGTAACAACTCAGGTCAGGTAAAGATAGATGAAGTTATTTATGTCAAAACAAAACTCCAGTTTTTAAAACACTACTAGGTTAAATTACCTAAAATACATTTTCCAGTCACACTATAATGACACAGGGATATGACGCCACTACCTGTTTCCTCTTCCTTAAATTACTTCCTCATTGTATTATTCTAACTGAAGACCAAACATTCTGAGAATTCTGTCAAGAGACAAAAGACCATGCTTCAAATTTAGCTTCCTCACTAGCGAAACCCTTGAGGAAGTGTGGGCCAAAGCAGGAAGAAAACAGCACCAAGTCTCTAGCAACAACAGCTGCCTCCTCCACGACTCTATGTTCTGAGTTTGTATATGCACCTCTCTCACTGGCTGTGTGTGTGTGTGTGTGTGTATGTGGCAGAGTGGGGTGCTGATTTCCTAGGTAGCTGGCCTCAAACTCCATCTCCTGCAGCCTGACTGCATCTGTCTATCCCTTACAAACCAGCACCATCTGCAACTCTCTCAATTCTTTCTTTTCTAAAATAAATAAATTTTAAAAAATAAGATTTTATTTATATATCTATGGGAGCCAGCAAGATGGCTTGATGGGTAAAGGTACTTGCTGCTCTAGGCCTGATCTGATGACCTAAGTGTGAGCAACTCCCAGAAGTCATCTTTTGACCACAAGCACGTTATGGCATACACATACACACACACACACACACACACACACACACACACACACACACACACACA